ATATTTTTAGCAATGAATGAAATGAAACAAAAAGCACCTCGAAATAGTAATATTTAATGATCAAGACTGCACACCTCAATGCATAATAAAATAAAATAAAATCGATAACGGGCGCCTCATTGAATGCGGCTTAAAGATTTTAACATGGTAAGGTAAGAAACTGAGTCATAAGAGGGGAGAAGACTAATCAGTGTTAAGACGGCGTGGGTGTGTGCGTGTGTGTGTGTGGGGGGGGGGGAATATCATTGACCAGTGTTTTCTAATGTAAGCATGATGGACTAAATATCAACTTCTCATCTAGATCACGGGAGGTCATGTCAATCCATTGTTATTGGAACACAGCTAATCAATCAATCAGAACACAACTTTCTTAGGCATTATACTTGCGAGTTCAATAGTATTGTAAAAATGAATTATATAAATACAGCTATACACTTTCTGGATATTTGCCTTTTCCTACAGCAAATACTGCCTTAACAGTCTGTCCTGTCTTCTCATATAGAGAAGAAGAAGTAGGAAGATTCCTACGTATTTTACAGATGACTTTGAAGTTGATCTGGGGATTAGCTTAAAGTCTCCTTCTCCGACAGCTGTATCCTGGAACACGTGATGGAATCTGGACGCCAAGCTAATCCAAACATCAACTTCAAAGTCATTTACAGAATATGAAGGATTCTTGCTAAAACAGTATGAATCAAACTTCTTCAGACAGTAAAATGATGGTGTTTTTGGTCCCAATCTCTTCATACAGAGGAAGAAGTTTGTTTAGTCACTGAATTTACAATGGACGTCATGTGTTTTAACACCGGATACTCAATTTTCTTCCCTCAAGCCCCTTATTACATTGCAAGGCGTTGTTGTCACTGTTATCAACTTGACTAACATACAATCCTGTCAGTTATGTTGTGGTGAGAGCTGCCTGTTAGTCAAAATTGGTGGACAGTAATTTACGTCAATATTTATGTCCCCAATATTGGTCGTGAGGAAACTGAGAACAAAGGCTTTCCGTAGGCAGATACAGTTAACATATAGATGATCTGACATTCAAGAAACAGTGACAAAGAGATGCAAGGTTAACTTTCTGTGAGAAACAACCAATCAGAAAACCATGTTTTTCTGCTCACAGTAATCCATAATATGTACATGAAAATCTATAAATATGTGTTGACTTCCTTAATAAAGGATCTCTTGCCTAGCCCTTGTCTTCTCTTGCTACAATATGACGTCATTCAATTTATCAGGTGTGCGTCGGCAGGGGATCGAACCCCGGACCATGTGCATGGGCACAGCGGTTAGCACTCTCGCCGACCATGCACATGGTCCGGGGTTCAATCCCGTGCCGATGCACACCCGATATCTATGGTCGGCCTGCAAAATTTGGGCTACCGATATCACATGCTGAAAAGTCATTCGAATTACTTATATTTAATTCAGTTACTACCCGAATAACCATTTTGTTTGTTGTCAGGATAAAGAAATGAAGAGTAAATAGGCTATCATCTTTGGACTCTTTCCCATTGACTGTTTGGATCGATGTGTTCGGCTTCAGGTTGATATTTCGGCTCTTTTTGCACAGATAATTCGACGGAAGATGTTTGATTATTTAACTTGAAGTAAATTTGGTGGATAGATTGGTGGCTAGCAGTGGAATCCAGAATGCGCATTTCGGATGTCCTATTTGTGTGACTACTCGTCATTTGGATGTTCCTGAATTCTCCAACCAGTGATAGTCTGTTCTCACTGTCCACTGCTGGTCACCAATTTTTACTTTAAGTTAAAAAATCAGACACCATCGAGACATCTGCACAAGGAGGCAAAATGTCAATCTGAAGCCGAGCAGTGTGGTCCAATCAATCAATGAGGTCCAAAATGAATTATGTAATAACTGACACTCGTTGCCCAAGTGGTTTAGTGGATAATGCTTTGGCGTTTGAAACTATGGGTACTGGGTTAGAAGCTCAATGGGACAGCACCACTCACTTGAGAGTGCAGGCACATCCAAATGAAGCGTCATACATAGGACAGTCGAAATGCACATTCTGGATTCCAATGCTAATCACACCCACCACCAATTTACTTCATTAAATGATAGCTGACTAGATAGACAAACAAATTCTTTTCCACAAAGAGGTAAGGAGATCCAAAGCTTATCTACCTGTTAGTTTATAAGAGTACAAACCACAAACGGATGACAAAGGCATCTAGTAAAAGAGATAGAAAATTGGGTAAAGCGTGCTATTTGTTATTTACCTGATTTGCCTAAGGCAGTCATATCACAATAGGGACATTTCATTGTATTAATATGCCTTTTCATATGCGTAGCCAATAATCTCTGTGTACTAAACAGTCTTTGACACCGATTGCACTTTACAGGTTTAACTGAATGATGTATATTCACCTTCAAGAAAGAAAATTAAAAAAAATTAAAATTGTGACGTGTTCTACTGACAAAATTTATAAGTAGTATATAGATACACATATAAATATGTGTGTATCATCTGTAAGAATATCGAATAGTCGAAAGATAGATTTGATTGTGAAGAAAATAAATGAACGCTGCTTGTGATGAAATAACATGGAAGACGTGAAAGGAGGAAAAAAGTAGCACGATGTCGAAGATATGTGCAAATTGTGATTCGCATATAGGGTGCACGTATTTTGCCCATATTTGTAAATTCAATTTTCCAATACTCTTTCTGAAAACGCTGACAATCTACACGAATTGATCTACCATGGATGAGCCATCTCATACATTGGGATCATAGTAATGACTGAATTCTACCATTAAAGTTTGCAATGTAGTCCCACTTTACGTGAACTTAGAGTGCACGTAGCAATGGCAACATTGCCGACTGACTCAAATAATTCAGCCACCACGGACACTAAGCACCAGATGTATGAATTAGTTACGCGTTCAGGTGGCCGGTAACTTTATCCACTTCAATGCTACAGGAGGTCAATCACGAGGGTTCGAATCTCTGAGAGAATATCCCGTTCCTCCGGAGTGACTGACTGGTATCAACGTAGTACTTTGCCCATAAGTGCACCAGTTCAAGTTGTCAAACTCCATATGCCACAATAAGGAGACAAAAGACAGGAAAAAGAGGAGATTCACAAGAACATAATAAGCAGGTATGTGAAGGAGGAAGATTAGTAATAAAAGGAAAAAACATGAGGGTAACATGGATAGTGGGAGATCGTAAGTATTGAATGCATCTTCGTCAATGACAGCGATTTTGAACCATATTCCCGACTGTCTCTAGCCATTGGTTCTTAAAATCCCAAGGACGCCTACCAGGAAGCCTAAACTTCTCTAAGTGACTGGCTAAAACTAGCTGTTAAAGAGTCCATGGACTGGCTCCGAATTTACTTTATCATATGAAAAAGAGAAGACGTTCAGCGAAGAGACTCTTTTCGCCGGCGAATTCATTCACATAGCTGTACAATCGCATCTATATATAATTATTTGTGTGTGTGTGTGTACATGAGGTTTGTTCAGTTTAGATACTTTATCAGGTAATAAAAGAATGATCTAATATAGAAACAAGGTTAATCAGACAGCAACCAAAAAAAGATTGAGATAGTAAGTTAGATGACGGAATATAATTGACTAAAATACCTTCGAAATCTATAAGAGATATGTTGACGACACTTTCATTATCGTCAACAATGAAGAAAATCTAGACGACATCTTGAAGTCGTTTAACAACTGCCCCCCCCCGCGATTCAGTTCACGCTGGATAAAGAGTCCAACCCAAAATATCCTTTCTTGACGTCCAATTAACAAGACGAGAACAGGATGGAACACTGAGAAGATCTATCCACAAAAAGTCGACGTGGAATGGACAGCTTACTAGCTTTCACAGTTGGGTACCCCTACACACCAAACGAAACCTGATCCGTTCACTCAGCTACAGAGTTCTCAGAATTTGCACCCGGGACACCATAGAAGATGAACTGGACAATCTCAAGAGAACCCTTGTCGAGATTGTTATTCAGAAAAATTTACCCAGCGTTCGCTTTCCAAACGGATCACCGAATACTTACCAACATGGTTTTACAAAGGAGAAAAACGATGCCTCCACAGCTCCACCTTAGAACATCTGATAGGTTTCGGACACCAAGCTACATCGTAAACAAACTTCAAAGTCGTCTACAGAGTAAGAAGTAGTCTTCCTAAAGGTGTACGAATCAGACTTCTTCAAACTGCAGAAGCAATGGCGATTCACTTGCTAAGTGCTGAACTCTGCATACAGAAGAAGTTCGTTCAATCACCACACTTACAATGGACTTAATATATCTTATTACCCGACAAGTAAATTCTACCTAATCTTTTTTTTATTTCTCTCACTTCATTAGTATTATTTTGTCTTCTCAATTGTAATATTTTGCATTTTCAACTTTCTTGTTCTCTATCCCCACCCGATTTAATTTCTACATCTCACTACCACAGATACTGACTTGACCAACGCTCAATTTCTAGTCATTTATGTTACGTCATCCAATTTATTTGCTCAATTTCAGTTCTAATTTAAAAGGCATTATTATCGACTTCACTTCTACTTAGTTTCTACCTGTAATTACCTCTGTTGCTACCCTGAACTAAGTTGAAACATTTTAGTGAATTATATTACGTCATCTAACTTACTAACTCAATCTTACTTTGGTTGCTGTCTGATTAACCTTGTTTCTATATTAGATCATTCTTTTATTACCTGATCAATTATCTAAACATAACAAAACCTCATGTACACACACACACACACACAAATAATTATATATAGATGCGATTGTACAGCTATGTGAATGAATTCGCCGGCGAAAAGATTCTCTTCGCTGAACGTCTTCTCTTTTTCACATGACTCAATTGGGATTTTCAAGCCTTATATATATATAACGACCACTAGTCATTATTAACGGAAGGAATTTGAAAGAGGTCACTTCCTTCACTTATCTAGGCACCACCGTTTCAACTACAGACGACAGAACGGATGAAAATGTCGAAACCGGAATGGGAAAGACAAGACAGACCTTTATCGCCCTGATGAAATCAGTGTGAAAATCTTCTTCACTCTGTCAGCACATAAAGCATAAACAACAGAATTCAGATTTTCAACACCAATATTAAGTCAGTCAGTTTCCCTATTATTATTATTATTATCTTTAATTCTTAGAGAAACTTAGGACTTCAACCGCCAGTCTCCATTGCGTTCGGTTCTCTGCTAGAGTTTTCACCTGGCTCCAAGTCTGCCTACATGCTTTCATCTCCCCTTCACATGACCTCCTTCAAGTCGACCTCACATCGACGACCAACTCACCGCTTCCCTTTCGGCCTGGTTCCACTCGAGGGCTTGTCTAGTGATGTCACTTGATGGTTTCCTCAGTGTATGGCCAATTCATCTCCATTTCTTCCTGCAGATTTGTTTCACAATCGGTTCCTGCTGAGTTGGTTCGCTCCCAGAGATCACTGTTGCTGATCTTTTCTGGCCATCTGATCTTGAGTAGTATTGAGCGAAGACAACTGTTAATGAAGGTCTGTAGTTTGCTTGAGGTGCTCTATATGACGCGCCAAGTTTCTGTTCCATATAGTAGCACTGACTTCACATTGGAGTTGAAAATCCGGACCTTATTTTCATTTTCATGCTGAGTGCTGTTGACCTCCACACAGAACTGAGAGTAATGAAAGCTTGTCTTGCTTTTCCGATCCTTGCTTTGATATCTTCGTCAGTTCCGCCTGTAGTTGAAACGATGCTTCTCAGGTATGTAAAGGAGGTTGTTTCTTTCAGGTTACTCTCATTTATGCTGACTGTTGTCTGTTGTTGATGTTGCTGTTGCACAGGAATATATATACGTAATAAACTTGGCGGGTGCATTACGAGAAGAATTTCGAACAGGTTACTACACTCTTTTATCAGCAGCTGCCTACGCTCCATACTGAAGATCAAATGGCCAGGAAGAATTATCAACAAGGAAATCTGGGAAAGAATCAGTCAAGACCCTATTGCTCAACAAATGAATGACACCGTGCACCAGGCCATCGCTCGACTGAGACCCAAATGGGGCGGGAGTTCGAGGCTGATATGGAGGACATCGTGTGAGGAGATGAAAGACTACGAAACCAGCTAAAGAGGACTGTAGAGAGTAGGACAAAGTGGAGACGTGCTGTATCCCACCCGGAACCGAAGGGAACAATAATTATCCATATTCAGCGAATTTATCTGTGGGAATTAAAAACTTCATACATTTATTCCCCTTGATAAATTTGAATAAAGCGAGAACAACATTGATTTGTGCAGAATAACATGGTACCATCATTTATTTCGTTGGCTTCTCGTCAGCTGCTTACAGCCTAAATAAATTTTCAGGTTTAAGTACAGAAACGTTTTAACGTACTTGCAAATTTTACATGTTGACAGAAAGTTTCACAACTAGTAAACAGTGCTCAGAAAATTGCGCTTATATAGTTTTTACACAGGCAGTTCAAGTTAAAAAATAATAAATAAATGTATGTATATAATGGTAAGGGATGTGCGTTGGATGCATAGTGACTAATAAGTTAGGTACCAATGTACTGAGTTGAACTCAAATCATAGAAACAAGAGACAAACAAAATTACAGATTATAAAAGGAGGGTGAGGTTAAAGACAAAATTACACAATCAGATGAGAGATGCAAAGTGACTAATAAGTTAGGTAACAATGTACTGAGTTGAACTCAAATCATAGAAACAAGAGACAAGCAAAATTATAAAAGAGGGTGAGGTTAAATAAAGACAAAGATTACGCAATCAGATGGGAGAAAAAAGACATCCAGTTACCAAGGCAAGGAAAGACTAATAACTGATTCTTTCTGAACACATAGATCTGGTTTCAAGCGTTTTATAGAAATTGCTTCGGCAAACTTGAGGAGAATGGAGCTCCTTTGTCTATTGATAATTTTGAAGGATTTCTCGATTTCCACCTCATGACCCGTGTCGAGGAGATGTCTGGTAATAGCGCTGCTATAAGAATTTGTTCCCTTGAGACGTAGGCTTTTCGGCACATGTTCAGAAAATCGGAGGTACCTAACTTATTAGTCACTATGCATCCAACGCACATCCCTTACCATTATATACATACATTTATTTATTATTTTTTAACTTGAACTGCCTGTGTAAAAACTATATAAGCGCAATTTTCTGAGCACTGTTTACTAGTTGTGAAACTTTCTGTCAACATGTAAAATTTGCAAGTACGTTAAAACGTTTCTGTACTTAAACCTGAAAATTTATTTAGGCTGTAAGCAGCTGACGAGAAGCCAACGAAATAAATGATGGTACCATGTTATTCTGCACAAATCAATGTTGTTCTCGCTTTATTCGGAATTAAAAACAATGGAAGAGCGATCACATAACAGAGTACCGTTATATATACACACACACCGGTGAATTCACTCCTAAAATAATGATTAGAATCAGACAATGAATGTGGCTTCAGTACAATCACTGCTACATTACCCAAGTTTTACATACATAAAAAACATGTTTTCTCAGAATGACTGGACAGAGAGAAACACCCGTAAGGGAGAAGAAAGTAGGCATGAGAGATAAACTTTTATCAAGTCATACTGCTCAACCGTACAGCTTTTCGTATGTGCTTAGTTTTGTATTCACCTGTCAAGTGTTCAGTGTACTGCTTATCCCCAGTAATCAAATCAGTAATCCAATTACCTGTCTGTTTTCGACATAGAACTTTGCACCGATGTTCAGCAGTTTAAGTCGCCACACTGCCTCCAGGTAGCACACAAAGCAAGAGAAGAAAGTAGAAGAAATGTATAATAGAGACAGTAAACAGAGGTGTGAGACAAAGGAATAGTAATAACGAAGAACGATATAGATTCGTTGGTAATCATAAGTCACAGAAAGTGGATGCATCTGCGCCAGCCATTGAGAACTGTTGTGATGAAACCATGTTTTGGTTTGACCGAGGCTAGCTCTTTTCCAGTCGGACACTATGTCAGTTAACATTGCCCATTGTCGCGGAAGGTGATGACTAGGCTAGGCATACGTAACACAAGTCCTAACCTTCTCAGTCGATGTAATTTCACAGACTCGTCAACTGATTTCCCCTCCCACCTTCCTAGCACTCGACGCCTAACCTCAATATTGTTCGCCTTATTATTCTACTTCACACGGGAGACAGCTAATCTTTTCATGTCTTTCACTCTCAATAGTCAGGTCTCACAGACATAAAGGAGGACGGAGAGGATTGATGAGCAATACACACGCCCTTTGGTCAATAGCCAGCCGGATATCACGTCTACGCCAGAGACGGCGTAAACAGGCATATGCGAAACTAGCCCTCTGTATCCGTACTGAGATTTCGTCAGAAATCAACCCGTTGGCGTTGGCTGATAGTATTTCCCAAATAAGTGAAGCGGTCAACATGCTCCACCAACCACTTCACTCCCTATTTCTAAACTAGGAGTCAGTGTAGTCCAGTCTTGCAGCCACATCATCTTACATTTGACGGCAGGAGCGAATCGCATGCCAAACATTCGTAGATTGCAGCTCAAGGTGTTCAGAAGACTCTGCTGGATTTTGTCAGCGTCCTCGCCCAGAAGACAGGACTATATCATCTGCATATTCTAAGTCAACGAGATTATTCCCTGGTAGACATGCAGCTAAAACAGTACTTACATATCCAAGTGAGATTTACGGGATTAATTTTTTCACTACAGTGTAAATAATGTACCCCGTTTCCCAACAAAATAGACGAAAATAACCACCACACGAATACATGATGATTCACGTTGCTACAGTAACTGATTAAAGCTATTTATAACTTGAACTTTGGTCTATAACACGGGTGGTCTTAATAATATTTATGAGTTCTGCTCCTACTGAAACAACCTGAAATTTTACCAGGGGTACAGTAGCTAATTCTTCTTACTCTAATTTAATGTCGACTAGTGTCCAACGGTACAAGCGAAAACCGACAAACTGGTCGAAGAAGCAGCAAAGGCAGGACTCCAGGTCAACATAGACAAGACAGAGGTTATGAAAATAACCAACAACAACAGCAACATCCAGCGCCAATTGTTAATGCGAAGACAATATTTCTATATTTCTTGATGTGCTCCATTGAATGACTAGATATCATATTGTTCTCACAAACCAAAGACAAAAACGTCAGCAACCATGTAATTTAACCATAAACCAAATTTATGTAATTTAAATAATACTTATCCATGCCTGTACATTTGGTGTGTCCTACACAGGTAGGAAAAATATGCATTTTATTAAATTATTATTAAATTTGCTTACTAATAGTATATGTAATTCATCATATTGATGATGCCTGTAAACTGGCGTCCCTCATGTACAAAATGAGAATATTATTATCAACGGGAGGGGTTTGAAAGAGGTTACTTTATTCACTTGTCATCTAGGGAGCATTGTCTCAACTACAGGAGGAACGGACGAGGATGTCAAATCCAGAGAGAATCGGGAAGATGAGAAACACATTCATCAACCTGAAACCAATCTGGAAATCTTCGTCACTCAGCATCAACAACAAAATTCGGATTTTCAATGCAAACTGTCTGTCTGTTTTCGACACGGAACTTTGCACATATGTGCACCAGTTCAAGTCGCCACACTCCGTGTAGCACACAAAGCAAGAGAAGAAAGTACAAGAAAAGCATAATAGAAACAGTGAGCAGAGGTGTGAGACAAAGGAGTAATAAAGAAATACAAAACAGTTTCATTGAAGATCATAAGTCACAGGGAGTGGATGCATCTACGCCAGCCACTGAGAACGATTTTGAGCCATGTCACCAATTGTTTCCAACCATAGATTTTTACCGTCCCGAGGACCCCAGCCTGGAAGTCTACACCTTCCTACGTGGCTTAGACCAACTGTTGTGGATTTCATTGACTGGTGAGGCCAAGTTTTTGTTTGACCGCCGCTAGCTTTTTTCCAGCCTGACCCTATATCCGCTAACATTGCTCGTCGAGGGAGGCGATGGCTTGGCATACGTAACACATGTCCTAACCATCTCAGTCTTTGTAACTTCACGACTTCGTCGATGATTTCCTCTGTTTACCTAGAACTCGATGTCTAACCTCAATATTGCTCACCTTATTATGCCACTTTACGCGGGAAATAGAACGCAGGCACCTATGATCAAAGACAGCTAGTCTTTTCATGTCTTCCACTCTCAGTGACCAGGTCTCACAACCATAAAGGAGGACAGAGCGGACTGATGAGCAATACACCCGCCCTTTGGTCGATAGTCGAACATCTCGTCTACGCCAGAGTCGGCGTAAACTGGCAAATGCGAAACGGGCCCCTGTATTCGTGCTGAGATTTCGTCAGAGATCAACACGTTGGCGTTGGCTGATGATACTTCCCAAATAAGTGAAGCGGTCAACGTGCTCTACCACTTCACTTCCTATTTTTAAACTAGGAGTCGATGTAGTCCAGTCCTGTAACATCATCTTGCATTTGGCGGGAGCGAATCGCATGCGAAATATACGTAGATTGTAGCTCAAGGTGTTTAGAAGACTCTGCAAACAACGTCAAGTCAGTTCTTCTATACGGATCAGAAACTTGACGGGTGGGTCACAAACAATATTTCCAACCAACAGCCTGTTGCGATGCAGACCTTTATCAACCAACAACTGTCTTCGCTGGATCTATACTGAAGATGAGATGGCCGGGCCGGGCTGGAAAGAATCACCAACAAGAGACTATGGGAATAAACAAAACAAGAACCAATCGTCAAACAAATATCCAGGAGAAAGTGGAGATAGATTGAACACTGGCTGAGGAGGCGGCTGAGTGACGTCGCGCGAAGGGAAGCGGGTGACATGGAGCAGATCGTGTGAAGAGGAGTTGAAACAGTATGGACTAACATGGATACAGGTGAAAAGGACAGCAGAAGACAGAAGCAAGTGGAGACGTGCATCTGAAGCCCTATGTTCCACTAGGAACCCAAGGGAACAACAATGATATAATAGTGTCCAACGGTCTACTATTGTGATAATATAATATACAAAAACAAGCAACCAGTAATTTAGGTCAATAGAGAAAAATACCCCTTGCCTTCTTTGGGAAGATAACAGTTTGGCCCAAAATGCATACGAATATACACTTTTGCATGGACTGAGATGATGTAATGTAGAGATGAGTAGGCTTCATTGGATTAATGAGACTGGAATGATGGTGTAAAATACAGCTCGCGACCAGCACTGATGTGATCTCAATTATCACAAGCTATATTTTAAAATGTATGACGCTTACAAGTCTGAAATTACCGCAAGGATAAGCAACGAGAGACTCCAAGAAACTATTGCCCAGCATATATATACCGAAGGAAATGAACTGAGCGAATACTGAAGAGACTGTTGTGCGACATCGTACGTCAGGCCGTCGAATGAAACCGAATGGGAAAAGATGATTTGGACGTCACAGGGGAAATGGAAGCCTATAGACATTCGTGGGGCTAGCAAAGACGGCTGCAAAGAACAGAATGAAATGTAGATTTGGTGGCGAAGCCCTATGCCCCACTCGGAACCCAAGGTAATAATAATAACAACAACAATAATAATAAGTTACAGGATTTCATCATGAGCTGACATTGGTTAGAGAACTATTGGAAAACCAGGTGGGAGTACTGGACAGCTGTTTCATCCTAGTTTATGACTCTTCATCAGTACGCACCCACCGCCACGGTTCGAACCCAGGACCCTCTGGTTACAAGCCGAGCTCGTGTACCATTAAGCCACTGGGACCCGACACAATGGTCCATGAATTCTAACTTCTGCCAATTCATGATATATAATAATAATAATAATAAGAGTTACTGCAAAAACTGTTAATAAAATTTTAGCCAGTGGTGCCTAGCGCTGTATTATCTGGAGAAAAACCCGCACTTACGTTAGCATTCTTTCTTAACAAATGGACTTGTTGACGTTTAAGGTGGTCTTCTAACTTTCGAAAATTAACAACTAACAGACCACATGTAGGACAGGCTGCACGTTTATTTTGAGTATGCGTATCCAAATGACCGGTAAGATTTTTTAAACGACGGGCTACATATGTACAATCCTCCCATAAACATTTCAATCCTACACCCTTCGGATAACGAGAATCATTATATTCCTGAAAGAAAAAGAGCAGAATATAAAAGATTAAAGTAATGGGATAAGTTGCGTGACTATTACTCAAATTATAGATTTTTTTTCCTATTTAATTTTAAGTGCAACTGAACTTTTTATCTGTTTTAAAATCACCACACGAACAAACAATTTTTAGAAATGACATACGTTAGAGAGATCAGTGAAAAACGAGGGAACACTGGACAGTCACTTTGTCGCATCTTGGGTCTCTTCATCAGTGGAAAGTCAAAACCAGTGGGGTCCACCATGTTAAGGTGAAGTGAATTCTCATCGAAGACACTGGTGAGACCTGCGCTATATCACAAGCTGACAAGGTGAGAATTCACGGATTACTGGATTCCAACCCAGGTGACTGAATGGCCAACGAGATACGTCCCGTAACCTGAAGGACCTAATTGGTACATATATAGGGCTAGGGATGTTAGGAAATCGTTATGGAAAACTTAGTCTTGTTAATATATGTATAAAACTTGGGCACTGTGGTAGTAAATAATTCCATATTAGTTTGTTTATCAGATGTATCACACAATGACGTTTCGAACAAAATTTATTGCAGTTCATAATCATATCAATTGTAACCACACGACTTCGAAACTTGGGTTTTATAGTCTTTTTTGTTCCCTCCTTTTTGTCGTAGGGGTAGTGGAATTTTCCAGATATCTTGGGCAGGTATTGAATCATTCCTATTACACGTATTTTCAGTTGATTCAAAACTGTCATCCTACTGTATGGTTGTGTGTAGGATGACAGTTTTGAAATCTAATGTCACAGGGTGGAGGGAGAGATTGATAACAGAAGCTTTATTTATCGAATCAACAGCAAACACGTGTAATAGGAATGATTTAACACCTCTCCACACAGATATCTGGAAAATTCTACTACCCCAGCGACAAACAGGAGGGAACAAAGTTGTGTGATTACAATTGATATGATTATGAACCGCAATAAATTTCGTTCGAAAAGTCATCCAGTAAATAATACTGTTTCACTGTGAGATGCATCTAATAAACAAACTAATATGGAATTACAAAACTTAGTCTGCTTTTGATTGTTCCTCTACTTTTATACCCCTACTTATTACACACAACAGTGAAGTGTAGTGCAGAGCTTCAAATTGATGTGTCGACTTTCATAATGCTACGTACGATAGACCAAAATGACACTATAAAGTAGGTCTCAGTAATCATACAAAGAATGAGAAACAATGTCTGTCCTTTGAAAAAAAAACGTAAATTTACCTCTGAATGCTTTGAAACATGATCAATAAATATGGAAACATCGTTGGTTTTAAAATCACAGTACTCCCAACCACACTCAAATTTAGTTGGAAGTTCAGGTATTGAATTACATGACTTTGAATCACACATACAAGATGGCCAATCATTAATTGACGAGGAATGCTTTCCAACCACTTTCAGATGATTGACCCAAGAATGAAAATACGAGTGCCTTTCAATCTCATCCGGATCAGATACATTTATAGGAGAATCACATATTCCACAGATAGGATGGCATGTACACTGTGACACTTGTTCACATAATACCTACACAGGAAATATAAAATATATATGTATATAATATCATACATCTCATCTAAATTTCCGGAGATTTTGGAAAATCTAAAAGTAGGAAAAGTTAATGGCGACTGTTTAAGGTAGTGTAAAGGTGAAGCATATTATCATTCCTTAAGGCTTTTACAATCGACGTAGTGACCACAACCAGAAGGTTGACATAAGAGATTGTTTAAAAAAAATAGTGAACTAGGCTATTCTTACAAGTAGATGGAATAGCTACGGGTTCACCATTAGGCCCAATGTTAGCTGACCTCTTTCTCGCAAAACTTGAAAACGGAAAATTGAAAGACATCATCAAGGAGTTTGACATGATTTTATTCCAGAGCCTTTCCACGAGTATACGGAGAACGTTTTACGCAGCATACCTATGTTTGTCATTCTCTAGCCGACGAATGATTGGGACACAAACGAAGGATAAGCTAGATAGTTTTGCCACATCAATTCAACTGCAGCTACGGTGACGTTGGGCGTACTACTAGACAGCTTAGCAAACGTGTCACTACTAAGCATCTCACATCGTGGTTTGGCAAAGGACAGACAAAAACAATCCGCAGCTCAATTTTGTCACATTTAATTGATAGCGGTCATATTGTGGAGAAAACGAGAGCTTTCAAGGTAATTCATCGTATCCCACCGAATCTCTCAAATACACTTCGTATCCGTCTACTGCACACAGCTGAGGCGATAGGCATTCGAACTATTATGCTCCTAAACTATGCATTCAAAAGAAGTTCGTACGACCATTATCCTCCCTTGTTGGCCTATTAAGACATAACCAACTAATGACTTCTACACCACCCCTTATTTATATTTTCAACCCCTCTCTTATCACCCCTTAATCTTATCACATCTTCATTAAAAACGTGTTTCATTTACTTCTCTTGCAATCTAGCATTACTCAATCGGTTCATTTGTTTTTATTAGCCTTTATCGGCTACGACGTCTACCTGAACATTTGTTTGTTTAATCATGCTGTTTTTCATTATTCGTGTTATCACGGATTGCCTCACTTTTTCATCCTTATTATTGATAAAACCATTATTATTATCGTCATTATTATTATGACTAACTGCACAATTTATATTACCATCTTATTATCCTATAGACAAAACACCATGATTGGTTTATATTTGAATTTTTATTTTTAAGTTATGTATGTGTATTAGAGTTAAGCCTGATGAGATGTAATTGAAAGCACAATATTTTTCGCTTAAATGTGTTCTAAATTTTACTATGGGAATATTTAATATATTGGAATTAGGTTATAATTAGTCTAAGAATAACAATTAAGAATGAATTCATTTGTTTTACTTTTGACGATTCTTTTATTTTACAATATCCGCTAAGAACTAATGGCTGGAGACAATTAGTGATATGACTCAAAATTTTTTTTGATTACAGCTTGATTCCACACTGTATTTTTGGTACAAGCATGGAATTTTCAGCATGTGATATCGGTAGCCCAAATCTTGCAGGCTGACCATAGATATCAGGTGTGCGTCGGAAGCGAATCGAACCTCGGACCATGTGTATGGTCGGCGAGAGTCCTAACCACTGTGCCACCGATGCACACCTGATATCTATGGTCGGCCTGCAAGATTTGGGCTACCGATATCACATGCTGAAAATTCCATACTTGTACCAAAATACGGTGTGGAATCAAGCTGTAATCAAAAATAAAAAATATAATTGTTCACAGTATTGAAGATGAATTTATTCTCTGTGATTTGCCATATCTAAAAGGATTTATTATTTTTCTCTGTTACTGTTCTTTCTCTCTCCCACACATTTCTGCTTACTATAGTTCTTTCCAATCTCTTTTTTGTCTTCCTTTGTGTGCAGAGTTCTGTGTTGAAATCAGTCACTCAGTGAGTCAATATCCACTAACTTAAACTTACAGTCTGTTATTTAAAAGACCCTTATCCAAAACGAAGCAATCGTGCCTCTTGCACAATTCGAGATATGTCTCATTTTTTGAAGGACTGGATTTTTAACCAGTCGGTTTCAGGTTCAAACATCTTTTAACATGTTTCAGATTGAGAAATTGAGGTGTTGAGAACTCCCATATGCCTAATAATTTTAGCCGAATAAACGAAAATGAGTATTGAATCAGTGAGTCTTTAGGGTAATTTGAAAAATTTTAAGTTGTCAAGCCATAAGGGAATTGTAACGTGCATCGATATTAACGTGCTCTTCACAAACTGCTGAAACGTCAGTAACCTGACAATACATACCATCTGGGTGAGGTAGTATCAAAAGTGGGCTTTGCAACTAGAATGTAATCGAAAATAAGAATGATGGAAGATGTTGAGTCCGCTGATTACGAAAAAATAATATGCGCTTTAACTATCCACATTTGAATAAAAGAACACGGGTATACACCTATGATTGAAAAGTCATCTAACTGGATGAAAATATGCGTTTAGCTAATTTGGAAATGCCGTATGTAGACATTATCATGTTAAAAAAATCAACCTATATATCACGGTCGGAGAAATTTTTCGTGAACATAGATAGAGTTGGTGGAAATGTGGGCAATTCCCCTTTCACAATTGGGTAAAGTGGGCTACTTTTAGAAATAACATGGATAATTTGGGGAAAAGTGGCGTTTCAGGCCAAGGGCATGAGCGAAAATGGGTAAAAAGCGGGTAGGAACATGGGTGAAATGGGTATTTTGTTTTAGACTTTACCCATATCCCAAAAGATCAAAATTATCAGTTCTCACATATTCCTCACTTTACCCGTGTGCATTCTCCGACTGAGACTGTAGAAGGGTAAATATGAAAGTGAAAATGGCAAATAATTGCACACAGAGAGCTATGACGTTTTGCACTCAACATACAGTTTAAAAAGAAATTAAAACTAACACTATACATAGTTATGGTTAGAAACACTAGTTGATAACATCCATAGATGATTGATACCTGTGTTGAACCATCTACCTGTATCTTTTTTCAAAAGTAATTACTAAGTTAGTTCAAAATGATTACGATACTAAACTAAGGAATATCAAGTAGCAAGACTTACTTCGAAGTGTTGTAGCTGGTGACGTTTGAGTGAATTTTTGTCATCAAAGGAGCTGGAGCAGTCTTTCCATTCACAACAGTATGAAAGTTTTGATTTGGCAACTAGAGACTTTCTACCTCTCTGCATCTTTATGCTGCATCATTAACTAAAAAGCAATTGTCTTTAAAGACCGAAGTAGAAAAATCCTCATCTAATATCAATCTAAAAAGAAGTCAGAATTTAGTACTCATGTGTTACACTGTTTAATGAGTTAAATAAGCCATACATCTTTTTGTGATGATCACATGAAGACCATCTTGGCTAACACAGCATATAAGATTCTAAATCCCACAGACTTGCGAAGACTGAGTAGGTCAGGGGGATTTAGGACCAGATGGTGTATTTGCGCAAGACGTCAAGATACAAACGGAGTATTGCTAATCATTATGGACCGTATAGAAAGAGTACATAAACTTTTGAGCAAAGTAAAGAACCCAAACGTCCTACAACAAGCACTATGATTTCACAACTGTCGACACTTGAAATCCCGAAAGAATCAAGAGTGGCGGATAGACTGTGACACCTCTACAGTAGAGTTCGAAAACAAACTATCCATTCTAGAGTTCCATACGAGTATTGCCAAACAGCTGAGCGCTCTAATGAGTTCTGATATACTAACCCCTGTACATCAAATAAGAGATGTCATATTCGCTCCGGCACAGTGCTGTTTCCATGGTCTTTCATCACTAGTAAGAGTCCGTAGAAAAAAATCTTGATTTCTAGTCTCGCCACATGTAGGTTTGCAATCTTCATTGTACTCTACATGTATCGTGTACAAATTCTTTTACACTGTAGAAAGGATGGATAGCACAATACCTAGTGTTCATTTAACAATAGCCGTGAAAATCTGCAACCATGTAGTCAAGGACAGAGACCATCTATTGTATGTGCAAACCAACCAATTTTACTATTTGCATGAAAGTAAAAAGAAGCTTAAGCACACAGAATAAAATGTTGCTAGTTAGCTTCCTCCTATTATAATGTCACGGGTTCTTATCAGCTGATAAGCGCTAGCTGTAAAGCAACCGATTTCTCCCTCCTCATAACTACAGATACTGCCAAAAATCAAATAACCACTTTCTCAAAGAATTAACACGTAAAATATATTAGGGAGGTGCGACAATTTTCCCTAAAATATGCCCCAAACTCCCGAAAAAAGTTTTGCTAATTTCCCGGGGAATTAGCCACTTGCCACACATATGGCAGTCTGAGAAATATCTCATTTCACGGGTTAATAGTGCCTAGCCAAGAAAAGTGCTGTATTAGCCATTCAATTAGACGAAATTTAATCTTAGCCATAAATGGGTATACGTTATAACGTATATTTAATTGTTTTCGCTTGTTATAATCAAAGGTAGTTGGCGGTTGACAGCTTCTAATGTTATTAGGCTGTCAAGATATATTGTGGTAGTCTAGTTAAAAATTTTATATTCATAATTAGGCAAGTAAAACCTAGTCATCAATTATTCTTGTAAAACATTTGAAAAAATGAATCTACCTCCGTTCCGCAACATTTGAATCTGCGGCATAACAGAAACTACAATTTCGAATGATGGCATTCACTTGTTATATAGTGCTCTACTTTACATTGAAATGGGCTTTGTGGATATGGTCAGGCATTCGAAGTCTTCATAAAATGATGCTACACCGAAAAGGCGGCTTTTACATGAAGAAGACTATTCGAGTATATTATAGTGCCCTCCAGTCATTCCATTCTGCTTGTCGCTCCTTGAATTCGAGACAACACATTAGCCTTGAATTATGCGTATCTTTCTGAACAGGAGGTTATCGTCATTGAGTTGGCTTATTAAGCTATCTGATACATGGCGCAGATGCATCCACTCCCTGTGACTTATGATCTTCAATGAAATTGTTTTGTATTTCTTTATTACCCCTTTGTCTCACACCTCTGCTCACTGTTTCTATTATGCTTTTCTTGTACTTTCTTCTCTTGCTTCGCGTGCTACACGGAATGTGGCGACTTGAACTTCCGCACATTTGTGCAAAGTTCTATGTCGAAAACAGACAGATAGATACATGAAATGACTCTGTGAATTTCACACTACTGTGATTAGCCGGGTATCCCGAAAATCTGCATTCAGGTATACTCTTGGAACTGAATCATTCTTCATAGGTGTTACCCTGGGTTTGTTTTACTAAAATTCGAAAAACTACGCCGCCTTGCAGAACCGTCTTTGTTTAAACAGTGGCCAATTGTCCATCAGAATAAACGTACGGCTCTACAACCTTGTGGTCTTTCATCAACTCTAACATGTAGGTAGTGGAATGATGACATGCTGATCTCAAGCTGCTGAGCCAATTCTTCCAAAAAATGCTTTTTATCTGGTGTATCTCCTTTCACTGTTCGCCTCTTGTTTTTGGGGAGAAGACAATGTGCCACCAGTCACAGTAGGTAAGCCGAAGAAGATAACGCAGACATGGTCTCCCTGTATGATTTGTTTAATAATATTACTCATACTAGGTCCGAAGGTATCACAGATGGTAATAATGGTTTATATTTCTTATAAATATGCGATCAGCCAGCAACATTTCAATTCACAAGTCTCGCACTTTGCTTGCCCTATCTTCTGGAGCTCTATACTTTATCATTAATGCTGTTCACAACCAATTTAACTATATGAGAGCTGGTCTTTTCGAAAACAAGACTACACTTGGTGCAAAGTTAACTGTTAATAAATACACACTAAATATTCATCCATAGATAAACAGCTGTTGATTCTATATTTCGACATTCTGACATGTGAGCCATCATTCGCTCACAAAAGCGTCAAATAGATACTATTACCTCGCCGGTAGTTTACTGCGCAGGAAGATTTCACTCATATGCGTAAAGATACCTATTATAGTTCTACTAAATCTTGTTTATTTACCAGATAATGATCATGTGGGGTCATTCGTGGGTAAACTGCCGTACTTTTCACAGCAATGGAGTACTATAGACATTTAACGTGACTTTTCAGATTGAATACTGTGTGATGACGCAGATACTACCCAACCTCAGGTTAATAATAGCCTTTAATTCTTCCTGCTTGACCTCTCAGTATTTGTGTCTCAAGTATGCCGTTGTAATTAAATCAGAAGTCTTGACGTTTGATAAACCGCTTTCCTAGATTCATTATGCGCTCGGTAGAAACGTCATGGTAAAAAACCCGCCGTCCCCTTTTAAACTCTTGGGACTGGCTTTTTGTAACATACTCATTTTTGTAGGCACATGAGCCTTCGAATAACCTAGCAGCTTTCTCATTTTTACTCACTCGTAAATTTCTCAAGTCATTGTCATAATGAAGCGGTTTGCTGTTAATATTAATTTTCATCCCTGCTCTTGACGAGGAAGGATACGCATACTTCCGCTCTGGGCGTCTTTGAAGTTCAGCCCAGTGGTGCCTTCTTGTCATCCACGTATTTGCGATCCCATATCTTTCTCCTGTGATTTCGTAGGCTTCTGGTCTGTTGCATTTGACAAGCAATTTTAGTTAGCTTTGCCGAAGCGTAAAATCTTTACATCACGCCATTGATTTTAGTTGACAGCCGGCCCGAGGTTAGGTATAACGACCCCATCAAGTTTCTGGGTATATACATCTCTTGTCAGTGCAGTCACTCGAGCCTACGAGAATCCTACTCAAAATGACACTCATTTGCAGGACGGTGTATCGGTATCAACAGCTGCCAGACCTTTACTATGAAGCCCTCTGAGTAGTTCAACGTTAGCGTGATATCAAATATATTATCTAGTGACACATACGCATTAACAAAATAGTGCAGTTTTTCGTGCTGTGACAAGTAGCAGATTATAAATTTATTGTGTGAACTATATGAGCCTGAAAAGCTCTAACAGTGTTAAGAGGGATCGCACGATCGAGCGACTTTATTGCATATCCCCTCAATGACGCTTGTTGCTATGTTGCTATTGGTTTCAAGTGGCCTTGGTTTTGGGGGAAGATTTAACTGAAGTAATATTGCGATTTCATAACATAACTCAGTCTCATACGTGAAAGAAAGTTATTATCCCGAAATAAGGAGAAGTTGTTTAGAAGGTAAAGAGGGCATAATTTTTCATTTAATTTGTGTATACTTTTGTGCATCGAGTTGAGCTGAGTTCTTAGTGCAAGGTTGCAATAAGAACTGTACAGTACTGTATGTAACTGTATTTACATCAAGTGAAACATTACGAATAAGCACGTTTTTAGAATAAAAAACATGATTCTTTTCATTAAGTTTAATAGTGAAGAATGGAATTTCTTCCACGTCATTGTTATTTCATTGAAGTTGTAATCTGTGTAGGTCCTTTTAGTAATAAATTCGGCGTGGAGAACTCCATACTCTTCCTCAACAGTCAGTGTAACCCCTATAAATTGCTAGTACTATTCACATTGCTTGTTTCGCAGCTGAGTTTTATTTATCCTCAATACAAGCAAATAAAACACAACCACTTCTGTTCCTCAGAATCTTTCCACTTGAGAATAGGACATCAATGAAGTGAGCTTCACTACCATGAATTAAGAATACTTCTGAACTCGCAGTACTTTGCCTTTTTCTAAAATCTTAAACTCCGTTTCCTCCACCCACTTATCTCTTAGTTTCAAGAGTGAGATGTGAAATGTTGGTAAACTTATTGAATGTATAGTATATATCAACTTTGAGGAGCTTCAGAGTTAATACGTTTATGTTCTAAATTTCTTTTTTCTAGGTGGATGTTGCTTTTAACTCATTTTCCCTGCATAAGGGTATTTTGACGCCTAGGGACTGCCCCAAAGAGAAAAATCCAGTTTCGTTCGTTCGTGCAGTCCAAAGGCATTATAGTGTTCTCATGGGTCACCATCTCATATCAAGGCAACTATCCAGAACTCAGAGGACTTCATCTACCTTGGTTTAAATAGTATTAAACACCAGATAGATGACTCAAAAATTACTACTCGGTGTGACAAAGTTTGTTCCTCTAGGAACCCAAGGGAACAATAATAATAATGACAAAGTTTACTGTGTAGATCGAGAATGATCATCTTGTTTCACAGTTGATCACGATAAAGCTTGGAAATAAACGGCAAAATAATATGAATTATTCCCCACGACTTCATTGTTTTCATCCTCTGTCGACCAGCAAACCGAAAGTTCATGACAAGAATTTTCCATCCGCATTAATTATGAATCTGATGCGAATATATCAGTTCAGTTGTCACGAACATCGATGTGTCACACTATCTAAATAGGTGGCATCAGGCATTCTGACTTATTCACTTTTACGATGGTCATTTCTTCTGTGTTTCTTAACTAAAATTTTTGAAATCGCTTTATATACGATGTTCGTTACCGCATTTCATAGCCTGCATTCTAAGAGGACCTTCTCCATGTCGTCCTAAGAGACAAACGCAGCATGACGGCACGTCATATGACGGCGCTTGGAAATTGGCCCAGAGTATGTCCAGTTAATGTACACTCCTTCTGCATACTTGTTGGGCGATTGGTTCTTAGTTGGTTGTGTGCCTACCATAGTTTCTTGTTGTTAGCGCTTTCTAACTGATCATCTGATCTTCAACCACGAAAGAAGGCATGTGATAAAGAAAACGTGTTTTAGATTTTTGGCAATGCTCTTGTTATGCCAATTCCAAGTGTCTAAACCATATAGAAGCACCGACTTGACACCAATGTCGAAAATTCGGATTTAATTCCCTATTCTAAGTTTCATGGGTCCACATGCTAGGCTCAGAGTAATGAATACGTGTCTTACTTTCTCGGTAGTGACTGGATCCAGCATCCTCATCCGCGTCATCTGTAGTAGAAGTTTTTCTGCCCAGATCGCGCAAAGGAAGGAGACAACTTGCTTTCGACTCTTTCTTTTTTAAGTGGCTCGTTTTTGTTGTTGATATTCAGGCATTCTTATTCTCTGTGTCACCCCCGTGTTCACCTGAATTCCTCTCCCTCTTATTGACATCCACTTATGAATCTTCAAGTTTGGAAGATGCGAGACGTTAACCAGCTAAGATTTTTTCAAGATATTCCCCTATTCCTAAAACGCACAACGTGATGCATTATCAGGTCCATCACAATCGGGAAAACCACTGGTGACGGCAGACAGTCTTGTCTTATTCCTATCTTCACTTCAAAGACTTCACTGAGCTTACTTTGGCGGAATGCCCATCATGTAGTAATATTATGTAGCTGTTAATTATTTTTTTATTCCTTTACGATCTGAGTGGAACACAGGCATTCAGGCTAGAGCTTTTAAGTTTCCGTAACAGTGGTTTTATTTTGAAGGGGTGGAGTTGCTAGTCTTACGCCCAACCTTTTCTCTTTACTGGCCTTACCACCGGCTTAATGGGCCCTAGGGGCTTGGCCGGAGACTGAAACCCGGGCCAGATGTGGTGTGATTGGCGAGCGTTCTACTGCTGAAACACAGGAGCACATATAGCTGTTAAATGAGATTTAAAAGTGTAATACATCTCGTAGTGTTGAAGCAATTGCTGAATCCTTTCATGGTCTTTGATGACGAAGGTTTGATTGTAATAGGGGCATATGTGAC